GGGTTTTGCCATGTTGGCCAGACTAGTCTCGAACTCCTGACCTCAAGTGATCTGCCTGTCTTGGCCTCCCAAAGTGCTGGGATTACAGGCGTGAGCCACCACACCCGGCCTCCTTGGGGTTTTTAATCTTAGATCTGGCCAGAGGTGTAATTCCAGTGTAGGTGTTGGTCCCAGCACTGGTGGCTGTGGAGGTTCCTGCTCATGGGTCCGTACTCCGGGAATTTGTGGTTCTCTCTGTATCCTCTTCTCTGCATCTCCAACTTGGGATGTGACACTTTGCTCTGTGGCCTCAATTCTCTGAGAGATCCAGGAGGACTTGTTGACTTTCAGCTTGCTCAGGTTTTTATTTGTTGTTAGGATGCAGTGATGACTTTGAAGCTCCTTCAATGCCAGTGCAGGGCCATTTTTCACATGCACCGTGCCACCGAACACCAGGGGTGTTCTTCCCCAACCCTGAGGATCAAGATGTTTGTTCTGACAGAGGCATGGGAGGCAGCAGCTATAGAAGCATTTAAGCCTCGTGGAGTCTCAGTGAGCCATCTGCTCTTAGGAATACAGACCTAGGTATGTCACATGGCTTTCCTTTTAAAACACGAATCCCAGCTGTTCAGGATGGTCTCCTGTTATGTCCTGACCAATATGCTTACTGGAAACATTACTTCTTGCTTCCCCTGCAAAATACTAAGTCTAGGGCTAAAATGCTAAGTCTAGGGCAAAATACTAAGTCAAGGGCTCTGAGAGCCCTCGAGAGGTTTTTGGTTTACATCCCTAAGCTCCCACTGCATGCCTGTACGACCCACCCTCCATCAAAACTCTGGACGCTAAGGCTTGGGTGAGCCTCTCTAGTTAGCAGCACTTTGCTTGTGTTGCCACACATTGTTGCTGGAAGAATTAATGGTGTCCCCATGCAGCTCCATGAGGAAGGGACACTTGGAAGCTTACGCCTGGTTTCCTCTGGACTTTGACCCATGGGCCATTTCCCTCTGCTGATTTTAATCTGTATCTTTCGCTGTAACAAACCATAACTGTTCTGAGTCCTATGAGTCCTTCTAGCGAATTGTCAAGCTTGAAGGTGGTCTTGGGGACACTGACACAACATCGTAACTTGATGGGGATAAATGTGAGCCGAAGCAGCAGTTCTCATGGATCCTCTGAAATGCTGTGGCAGAGCAACATGTAAAAGGGTGCCCCTGCTTCCAGCTGTGGTGTGGGACTAACAAAGCCAGAAAGCTAGGAATCACCATGAGGTTGTGCCCTCAGACTATTAGAAACAGACAGTATCCCCGAGGAGGTCCCAGAACCACCCCAAAAGCAATTCTTTTAAAAAATTAATTAATTCTTTTTTTTTTTTTTTTTTTTGAGATGGAGTTTCACTCTTGTTACCCAGGCTGGAGTGCAATGGCGCGATCTCGGCTCACCGCAACCTCCGCCCCCTGGGTTCAAGCAATTCTCCTGCCTCAGCCTCCTGAGTAGCTGGGATTACAGGCACGCGCCACCATGCCCAGCTAATTTTTTGTATTTTTAGTAGAGATGGGGTTTCACCATGTTGACCAGGATGGTTTCGATCTCTTGACCTCGTGATCCACCCGCCTCGGCCTCCCAAAGTGCTGGGATTACAGGCTTGAGCCACCGCGCCCGGCTAATTAATTCATTTTTAAAGACAGGGTCTTGCTCTGTTATCTAGGCTGGAGTGCAGTGGTGTGATCAAAGCTCACTGTAGCCTTGAACTCCTGGGCTTAGAGTTAAGAAACTACAATAGGGCCGGGTGCGGTGGCTCACGCCTGTAATCCCAGCACTTTGGGAGGCCGAGGCGGGTGGATCGCGAGGTCAAGAGATCGAGACCATCCTGGTCAACATGGTGAAACCCCGTCTCTACTAAAACTACAAAAAATTAGCTGGGCATGGTGGCGCGTGCCTGTAATCCCAGCTACTCAGGAGGCTGAGGCAGGAGAATTGCCTGAACCCAGGAGGCGGAGGTTGCGGTGAGCCAAGATCGCACCATTGCACTCCAGCCTGGGTAACAAGAGCGAAACTCCGTCTCAAAAAAAAAAAAAAAAAAAAAAAAAAAAAAACTACAATAGGCTGAGCGCGGTGGCTCATGCCTGTAATCCCGACACTTTGGGAGGCCAAGGCGGGCGGATCATGAGGTCAAGAGATGGAGACCCTCCTGGCCAACATGGTGAAACTCTGTCTCTACTAAAAATACATCAAATTAGGCGGGTGTGGTGGTGCATGCCTGTAGTCTCAGCTACTCGGGAGGCTGAGGTAGGAGAGCTGCTTGAAACCGGAAAATGGAACTTGCAGTGAGCCGGGATCGTGCCACTGCACTCCAGCCTGGCGATAGAACGGGACTTGGTCTCAAAAAAAAAAAAAAAAAAAAAAAAAAGAAGCTACAACAATATAATAGGTCTAAAGGAACAGGCAGAAATACAATTCAAGAGTGATTTAAAAGTTAAATGTAAAATATAGAATCAAAAAAGGAGTTAAGGAAGAGGTTCTCTAAGTGCCAATGAAAAGTATAATGAAACAAAATCTAATAGACCTCATTACACAGAATTAGAGAACCTCTGTGCATTGGCCGGGTGCAGTGGCTCATGTCTGTAATCCCAGCACTTTGGGAGGCCAAGGTGGGTGGATCACCTGAGGTCAGAAGTTTGAGACCAGCCTGGCCAACATGGTGAAACCCCATCTCTACTAAAAATACAAAAATTAGCCAGGCATGGTGGCACGTGCCTGTAATCCCAGCTACTGAGGAGGCTGAGGCAGGAGAATCACTTGAACCTGGAGGCGGAGGCACAGTGAGCCAAGATTGCACCATTGCTTTCCAGCCTTGGCAATAGAGCGAGACTCTGTCTCAAAAAAAAAAAAAAAAAAAAAAAAAAGAAAAATCTCTGCGCATTAAAAATGCTGTAACAAAGACAGAAAATGTACATATCAAAGGGATATATATATGTGTCTGTATGTGTGTATGTTTATGCATCTGTGTGTGTTATGTGTTTAAGCATCTGCATGTTTGTATGTGTGTGTTGTGTATGAAATAAACCAAAGAGAACAGTGGACGAAAGACAGAAACAGACCACACACATGAAAAGAAACAAAAATGGCCAACAAGCAGGGACAAAGAACATTCTTAAAGCCTCAAAATGGGCCGGGCGTGGTGGCTCACACCTGTAATCCAAGCACTTTGGAGGCCAAGGTGGGCGGATCACCTGAGGTCGGGAGTTCAAGACCAGCCTGACCAACATGCTGAAACTCCGTCTTTAAAAAAAAAAAAAGCCTCAAAATGGCAAATACAAAAACGAAAGCAGGAATGACCCCATGCTGGCCAGGAAGTGGTGACAGAGGCATGTCAGAGTTGATGAGAACAGCTCCCAGGAGGTCCACCAGATCAGATTCCACCCAGAAGCCGCGACAAGCTTTGGTGTTCATAACCTTCACCTGGTAACTGCACTTCTCCGAATTTACTCAGAGGAAATGATACAGATGGGCACAGAGGCTTATGTTAAATAATTATTTATAGGCACAAACAATCTCGATGTTCAATAGTAAGGGAACAGATAAATGAAGATGCAGCTGTAAGATAGAAAACGATGTGGCCAATTGTGTCTGGAAATATTTTATAACATGGAAAAAGCTTATCATAAAATGTTAACTGGAAAAGGATAAAAATAATATGTAGAGTATGAATCTATTTTTTTTTTCTGAGATGGAGTTTCGCTCGTTGCCCAGGCTGGAGTACAATGGTGCAATGTAGGTTCACTGCAACCTCTGCCTCCCGGGTTCAAGCAATTCTCCTGCCTCAGCCATCTGAGTAGCTGGGATTACAGGCGCGTGCCACCACGCCCAGCTAATTTTTGTATTTTTAGGAGAGATGGGGTTTCACCATGTTGGCCAGGCTGGTCTCGAACTCCTGACCTCAGGTGATCTGCCCGTCTCAGCCTCCCAAAGTGCTGGGATTTACAGGTGTGAGTCACAGCGTCTGGCCTAATTTTCTTTTAAAAGAAGAAAGATATGTATACATGAATAGAGAAAAACTGGAAGAAAATGTGTCTAAATGTTAATAGTACTTATCTCCAGGTAATGATCCATGAACTGATTCTGAAGGTCTTTGTTTGAAACAGGGTCTTGCTCTGTCTCCCAGGCTGGAGTGCAGTGGTGTGATTACAGCTCAATATAGCCTTGACCTCCTGGGCTCAGGCGAGCCTCCCACCTCAGCCTCCAGAGTAGCTGTGACTATGGGCAAACACTATCATGCCCAGCTAATTTTTTTTTGTAGAGATGGGGTCTCCCTGTGTAGTCTTGAATTTCTGGGCTCAAGTGATCTTGTCTTGGCCTCTGAAAGTACAGGTATGAGCCACTGAGCTGGAACCTGAGGGTCACTTTTATTCTTATGATTTTGAGATTTTAAAAAATTTTCTCCGACATACATGTACTATTCATAATCAGGGTAAGAGTTTATACATACATAAAAGAAAAACATCAAGACTCCAATATAAAGAGAGACAAAGCACATATTCAAATAGTTTTCAAAAAGAAAGATCAACAGGCTGGGTGCAGTGGCTCATGCCTATAATCCCAACACTCTGAGAGGCTGAGGTGGGAGGATCACTTGAGGCCAGGAGTTCGTACCAGCCTGGGCAACACAGCGAAACCACCCCCTCCCCCGCCCAAAACAAATTTAGCTGGGCATGGTGGTGCCACATCTGTAGTCCTAAAGTCCCACCCACTCGGGAGGCTGAAGTGGGAGAATCACCTGAGCCAGGGAGTTTGAGTTTTCAGTGAGCTGTGATCACACCACTGCACCATGGAAATAACTTCAACGTCCACCAAGAGTATGTCATAGCCCAGACAGAACACTGTGCCTCTGTTTAGAAGTGTAACAAGGACAGTTTAGATGCTTGAAAAAAACTGCTATGAAGCTAAAGGCAGAAACAAGATAAAAAACTATAGATATGCTATGTTTAAAATAATGCAAAATTCTATATGAACAATGCAGAGAATAATGTTATCAAAGTGCAAAATGCAGCTTTATTAAGAATTATTGGCATTTTATTTTTTGTAAGTCCACATTTTCTGAAGTGTGGTTATTTTGCCTGCATAATTAAAAAAGCATATTGAAAGCATCTTATAAATGATAGCACTCTGTACAACTGTAAAGTGTTATCACCAAGAGGGCAGCTTATTCTTGCTTAGGACTAATTAGAAATAAGTCATTCAAGATTAACTCTGTCTTCCTGCCTCTGAAGACTGTCAGGACAGGGAGAGCCACCTTTTCCAGGGTGTGCACCACAGTTCCATGTGGGACCACCATGGAGCCCCCTCTCTCTGGGCTCCAGCTCCTCTTCTCCAGTGGGTGCTGGGGCTTCTTCTGTGACCTCGGCTGATGACTGGTGCTACATGGTAAGAAGCCCTACAGGGTAGCGTCACCAGCCCAGGGTGGCCCTGCCCAGCCCTGGCCAGTGAAGGGGAGCTTCCAGACACATCTATCCTGATGTTGTGCCCATCTTCCCTGGATGCCCTGGGCACTGCCTGAGAGCTCCCAATTTCTCACCAGGGGCTAGATGGCAAGAGGCGGTGTTGGCATGTTAGGACCTGGCTACACTGATGCTGGGCCATGCTGTGATGGCTGTGGGAATGCCCCTGACGGCACTGTCACTAACACACAAGCTCTGCAGTACAGCTATTTATATGAGGTAAGTCCAGGAAATTTGCTTTTTCCAAATGCCCACCACCCAAGATTATCCTCCTCTCTAGCAATATAATAATGTTCACTGGGAAGTAATGCTATTCATAATTCTTGTTTATTATTTTTCTGAAAATAATAGTTTATGGAGGAAACTCCTGACTGAAGCCATGTCAGGAGCCCGTCTGAGAATACAACAGTTGACATACCTCCTTTTTATTTCACACAGGGTCTTGCTTTGTCACCCAGGCTGCAGTGCGGTGGTGTGAATCTGGGCCCACTGCAGCCTCGACCTCCTAGGCTCAAGTGATCCTCCCGCTTCAGCCTCCTGAGTAGCTGGGACACAGAGACATGCCACCACATCTGGCTAATTTTTGCATTTTTTGTAGAGACCAGGTCTCGCCATGCTGTCCAGGCTGATGTTGGACTCTTGGGCTCAAGCGATCCCCTTGCCTCCCAAAGTGTTGAGATTACAGGTGTGAGCCATGGCACTGAACGATATCCCCTCCTTTCAGGGGCAAGAAAGACCTTTCCCCTTGTCAACAACTTCCAGGCCCGTCCAGGAAAACAGGTGGCAGGACTAGCTCAAATGGCTCTCCACGCTCCTCCTGGAGTGTGGTCCATCAGGGGAGGTGACTGACTTTAAATGAGGTGCCTGGCATGCAGACCTGATTGGGGTGATAAGGCAAGGCTCCCACACCTGGAGGAAGGTGGTCGGGAGGATCGGGGTGCTTTCCTAGTTGGGTAGCTTAGAAAGTAGTGACTGACACCAGAACACATCATGTTAGTTTCGAGGTTTGCTCCCCAGGGGGAAACTCCTGCCAGCTCGGGGGGGAACCACACACAACAGCTTTGCCACATCCAGGGCGTTGATGGGGTCCACGTCCCTCAGCCCAGCATCCCCTGCACCCAGCAGGCTGCCAGGCACGTAGTATGTGCTGAGCAAGTGTTTGTTGAACTGGATGGCCAAGGGCTTCCCCTCGCTGTGCAGCCTCTGGTGCTCAGTGAGGTGCGAGCTCCAGTTGAACATCTCCCCACATTCCTCACACTTAAACGACTTCTCCCCGGAGTGGACTTTCTGGTGTTTAATGAGACAGTGGTTCTGGCTGAAGGCTCTGCCGCACTGGCCGCACTTGTAGGGCTTCTCGCCGGTGTGGATGCGCTGGTGCACGATGAGGGACGAGTGGCAGCTGAAGGCCTTCCAACACTGGCTGCAATCGAAAGGCTTCTCGCCCGTGTGGATGCGCCGGTGCACGATGAGGTAGGCGTGGGAGCTGAAGGCTTTGCCGCACTCGCTGCACTTGAAGGGCTTCTCGCCGCTGTGGATGCGCCGGTGCACCAGCAGGTACGCGTGGCAGCTGAAGGCCTTCCCGCAGTCGGCGCACTTGAAGGGCTTCTCGCCCGTGTGCGTCCTCTGGTGGAGGGTGAGGCGCGAGCGGCTGTTGAAGGCCTTCTCGCAGTCGCTGCACTTGAACGGCTTGTCCCCGCTGTGGATCTTCTCGTGCACGGTGAGGGACGAGTGGCAGGTGAAGGCCTTGCCGCAGGAGCCGCACTGGTAGGGCTTCTCGCCCGTGTGGATGCGGTGGTGGCGCGTGAGGTGCGTGCGCTGGTTGAAGGCCTTGCCGCACTCGCCGCAGCGGTAGGGCTTCTCGCCGGTGTGCACCCGCAGGTGCATGCTGAGCAGCGAGCTGCAGCTGAAGGCCTTCTCGCAGGCGCTGCACTTGTAGGGCCGCTCGCCTGTGTGGATGCGCTGGTGCACGTTGAGGGACGAGTGGCAGCTGAAGGCCTTCCCGCACTCGCCGCAGAAGAAGGGCTTCTCGCCCGTGTGGATGCGCCGGTGCTCCAGGAGGTTGGTGCTCCAGGTGAAGGCCTTGCCGCAGTCTTCGCACTTGTAGGCCTTCTCCCGGCTGTGCCAGCGCCGGTGCAGCGTGAGGGAGGAGCTCTGGCGGAAAGCCTTCCCGCACTCGCCGCACAGGAACTCACCCTCCCCGGCGCCTGCCCCGCGCTGCCGGCGCGCTGCGGGGAGCTTTTCGGGCTCACTTGGCCTGGAGGCATTTTCCCCAGCACACAGTCTCGCGGGGGCCTTGGTTCCGCGCTCAGTGGCCTGGACGTCCTTGTGTGTGTCCAGAGAGCGTTCCCCCTCGGGAACGCGCTGCTGGGCGAAGAGGACACATCTGAGTGGGAATTCCTCTATAGGGACATCCCAGACGCTGGCAGGCGCGGGCGCCCAGGGCGCAGCCTGACTCCTCTGCAAAGCACAGGCCTGGCGCCCCCATGCCTGCGCCCCGCCCAGGGGCCACTCCAAGGTGGGCTCCTGGGCCAGTTCTTCTTTGCACATGCCCTGCTGTTGAGAGGGCACCTCCTTCATCTCCCATTCTGTAAGATATTGAAAATGATTTTCTGTGAGCAAACGGAAACCTGGCCTGGAATTCAGATTTGAGAACTGACCTGGAGATGCAGATAAGCCTAGAAAAGAGAGGAGAGGCCACCAGGGCCAAGGCTGGAGGCTCAGGCAGAGAGAAGGGACAGCCCAGGATGAGATGTGGAAGCATGATTGGGAAGAAGGGAGAGGAAGAAAACGGAAGGAGCCACAGACAGCAAAGACCAGGAGAGGTGGAGAAGCCACGGAAATCCCTGAAAGAGCAGCTAGAAGCCCCAAGGGAGCTGAGACGGGGAAGCTCAGGGAGCCGGTGATCAGGATTCCACTCACTGAGCCGGGCTGACTGACTGCTGTGTGTCAATACCATGGCAGGCAGGTGCTCGCAACACACAGAGCAAATACAAGTTTTTAAAAATGGATTAAAAAATTGTCTGTGGTGCCAAAAGGAAAAAATGACACCCTACACCCCAGCGCTGCCCTTTAGAACCCTGGGAATTGCAAGTGCTTTCTCTGTCTCCAGATGCTGCAAATCTTTTCAGAAGCAAAATGAGCCTAGTCCAAGAGTCCAGTCCTAGGTGTAATTTCCCGCTTGTCAAAAAGATACAAGAGGCTGGGCGCAGTGGCTCATACCTGTAATCCCAGCACTTTGGGAGGTCAAGGTGGGCAGATCACTTGAACCCTGATCAAGATCAGACTCTACAAAAAATATAAAATTAGCCAGGAATGATGGCACATGCCTATAGTCCCAGCTACTGAGGAGGCTGAGGTGGGAGGATCACCCAAGCCTGGGGAGGTTGAGGCTGTGAGCTATGATCATGCCACTGCACCCCAGCCTGGGAAAGAGAGGGAGACCCAGTCTCAAAAAAAAAAAAAAAAAAAAAGAAGCAAAAAGCTGTATTCTTCCTTTAGGTGAAGACAGTTGCCCTGTGTGCTGGGTTGGATCTGTCTCCTCCGTCAAAGGGGGAGGTTTCTTTCTCTGCTGCACACCACATCTGATTAAACCTGTATTAAATAAGAAGGCTTTTTTTTTCTTTTCTATCTCTATAGCAAGGTTTTCTGGGCAGGCAGGAGATTTTTTATTTCTAATTCTGTCCTCCCCAGACTTAAAAGGAAGTAGTCTAGTGCAGTGGGCAGAGCTGGATGGCGGTGCTGCCTGTGACCCCAACCCGTCTGGAGGGGCAGGGCAAGCAGAACTGGCCGTGACACACTGGAAGGTAGCCGGAGGGAGCGGGAACAGCACATGCAGAAGTGCAGAGGTTGCTGGGCGCGGTGGCTCACGCCTGTAATCCCAGCACTTTGGGAGGCCGAGGCGGGTGGATCACGAGGTCAAGAGATCGAGACCATCCTGGTCAACATGGTGAAACCCCGTCTCTACTAAAAATACAAAAAATTAGCTGGGCATGGTGACGTGTGCCTGTAATCCCAGCTACTCAGGAGGCTGAGGCAGGAGAATTGCCTGAACCCAGGAGGCGGAGGTTGCGGTGAGCCGAGATCGCGCCATTGCACTCCAGCCTGGGTAACAAGAGTGAAACTCTGTCTCAAAAAAAAAAAAAAGAAGTGCAGAGGTGAGACAGTAAGATGAAGACAAGACATGCAGAGGCAGGAAGGCTGAGAGGTGACCCTGGAAGGGTGATGGGTTCAAGATGATCAGATGCCTGACTCAGACGGCAGCTGGGGAAGAAAGGCCTTTTGCACAGAGGATGATGTGATCATAATGGTATCTTGGAGTTGGGGTGGAGCAGGTGTTGGGGACAGGGTCTTGCTGTCTTGTCCAGGCTGCAGTACAGGGGTGCAGTCACAGCTCACTGCAGCCTCCAACTCCTGGGCTCAGGCGATCCTCCCACCTTGGCCTCCCAAAGTGCTGGGATTAGATGTGTGAGCCCCTGGGCCTGGCATAACGGTTTATCTTGAAGGTGGCTTTGGTGGTGTGTAAGGAGGAGTTAGGGAGGCGGGTTAGGGAGGCCACCTGAATAATTCAGGTGAAAAATGGCAACTTCAAACTGGTACCAAGGCTGTGAAAATGAACAGAAAGCAGCAGATCTAAGAGCTATTTAGGAGCTAAAACTGATGGTCTTACCTGTTGACTGAAGGTGGCAGGGGAGGAAATGGTGGGGGAGGGTGATGCCTCAGCAAACACCCAAGCCTGAGTGGACGGTGGAAGCTTTTACAAAGACAGGGACCAGAGGAGGAAAGGCAAGTTCCAAGTCTGGTTTTGGATGTGTGGGCAGAGGCCCTCGAGATGGTGGGTGACAGAGGGCTGCAGCTCAGCCGGTATTGCTGCAGTGTAGACCACACCCACACCAAGTGGGAGGTGAGAGTCTAAGGAAGGTCCACAGAGCAGAGAGAAGAGGCCCAGGCCCGAAAAAAAGTCATTTTGGCAGCAATCAGGGCCGACAACACACCAGGGCACATTCATCTAAGAGATAGTGTGCAATCAGTAAACATCACACTGGGACGCCCACCACGCCACGGAAGTGCAGAAGCCAGAGTCCGGAGTGCACGCTGGGCTTCCAAGATACATAAGGCTTGCTTTCCTTTCATTTCTTTCTCTCTCTCTCTTTCTTTCTCTTTCTCTTCTTTCTCTCTTTCTCTTCTTTCCCCCTCTCTCTTTTTTCCCTCTCTTCTTTCTTTCCCTCTTTCT